TTTAAAAAAAAAAAATAATATTTTGGATCAACACAAAGCTCAAGAATGTTGAGGTCATTTGAAGGTTGACCCACTGTAACAATTTTATTTTATTTTATTTTTTTTGGTAGGCAACTTTGGATCCATCATGCAATTTTGAAAAGGCTCTACAAGAGCTTTGTGGAATTGACGATTGTGATTATTTACAAATCAAACAGTTAATTATTTACCAAACATGTTAGAATAATCTGCTTAATTGGTCAAATGTGACAATTTAGTTAATAGCATAATTGAATCAACTAAATGTCAAACAAGAACATTGTATTTCAAATACAATTCTGTCAAAACAATACAATCTCAATATAAAATGGGTTGGAGTTTAAAATATGCAATGGTAGCTTAATAAGCACAAAAATATATTTATAAAACGTGTAAGAATGATTAATAAACGGGGGGAGCCTTATTAGGACCAGTGTGGGCCTGAAAAAAAAATAAATTAGTATTACTATTAACCCATGTTATTTAATCTAAAAAAATACTAATTATTTCCTATGAGCCTAATAAAAATTGCCCAACTCGCAAAAAGTCAAAAAGTTCGTCAATTTTTGGTCCAGTTGTACAGGAAGGTTACTTACAAGATAACAAAATTCTTTCTGTTTATTTTAGTAAATATAAAAATTACTCTTTTTTATTTTTTAGATAGTGGTAAATATATCATTTTTATGGAAAAATTGCACAATCAAGCTCTTTTTAGGTTTACAACTATTTAAAGTATGTCAAAATAGAGAATTTTTCATTTACTATAAATTTATAATTTTTTTATTTCATATCAGACATTGAGAGATATTTTTCAAAAAAGCTCATGTCAACAAAATCTTGTGAAAATATCTCAAAAGAAGATACATTGAATCCAATTAGATTTGAGGAAAATTCTAGTATCTTTGGGCAGAAAGAATGTAATACGAGAAATTTGGTATCAATGCGGAAATTAGTCAAGATGATCAGGTTTTATTCTCAAGACTTTTCTATATTCGATGTTCTCATTCTTGAGGATCAGTTGCAGAACTATATTGTTGATAAGAGCTTTGACCGTCTTTGCATTTGCCTTTTTCATTAAGTTTGTTATACTTTTATTTATATAGTTAGGCCCCCGCTCACTATATTTGCTAGATCCGCCTCTGTTAATAAAGCCACGTTTATTAGAAATCTCTTCTTTTTTTCTTCTAAATATAATATTTGCAAAACTAACTAGTAGTATTATAAAATATATTTAGTTTTGAATAATATATGTTATAGAAATAATAAAGATTATTATTTATTTTTTTTTGGTGCAAAACTCATAGTGAAAATTGTTGGAGATAATATTTAACTTCATAAGTCAACAATTGTGGTGCACAAATAGCTTCAAAATAGTAAAATTTGCTTGAGATGATCTTATCTCACAAAACATGGATAACTTTTCAGAACAATTAAAAGAATATAAATTTTAGTTGCTAATTATTGTGTGATAAATTTTCTTATAAAATATTTTTGTTGTCAATTGTTGTGCTGTATTTTTTTTTTCATTTATAAAAAGAAAGCGAAAACTGATTCGGGATGCTACCGTAAAAAACTTGATTTTTTGTGAAAATCGTTAAAATTTTAAACTGATAAATAAAAACGATTATACTGTATTATCCGACTAATGTCGGAACAAAACTGAAAACAAGTACTGAAAGTTTTAGCGGAAATAACTGTGTGGCAAAACATATATACAATAATCATAAATATCCTGAACAGCTCGCCCGCTCACTCCTCGTCTCCGACCCTGCGACCTGAAAAAAAACATGAAAGGCGTGGGGCGTGAGCACTAAACACTTGTGCTCAGCAGAAACTCATACTAATGTAAACATTGTAAATAATAACAATATCATGATCTAAGCATATATAACTGAACTGAAACTGA